ATTCTGTGATTCTGTGAAAGCAGCAGAGGAACGCTCAGGGAAAGCAGGGAGGAAAAGTCAAAGTTTTTTCAGTCTCTATATGCTGTGGGAGAAGTTGAACTGATCTAACATCATGCTCAGGGAAAGCAAGGAGGGAAAGTCAAAGTTTTTTCAGTCTCCATACGCTGTGGGAGAAGTTGAACTGATCTAACATCACACCATGACAAATTGTCCCCGTGTGCCTTCCCTCTGGCTCCCAGGAACACACATTCCTCTCAGCTTCAAACTTGCATTACCTGTCTGCCTCCGTGCATTTGTTCATCTCACCAATTCAGCCAAACCAGAAGGAATGGTTTTCTGCTGATGTGTAAGCTGAATTGGTTCGACTGAATAAATAAATCATTCTGACTAATTCTGGAACTGTAACTTTGGTAAGAATGATTCCTGTCCTTTACTTGGTAAGATTAGCAAAGAAATCAAAATAAGAATTGAAAATGTCAAGGCATAACTAATTTCCTGTTAGTAAGAGAATTTCTCTAAATGTGCTGGTGTGTTCTTCTGCACACATGAGAAAAAAAATATGCAAAAATTGGAATGTAAAAAAACAAATTGTATTACAAATGCAGAAAATGTTCAGTGTTACTGAAAAATAAATACTCGGATTTTTTTTCTTCCCTATTACAAATTTCCATGGAATTTATCTTATAGTTTGCAATTAAATGAGGAAAACTATCGAGAAAGTTTTGAGTATTTTGTGTGCCTGGCTCTAAAGATGAATCAGATTTATTTTTTCTTCTATGGCAAAAATTACTGATTGCAGGCATTTTGATGTTGCATAGAAAAACTTTGAAGACTGGTAAATATGTTTTATTTGCCTTATATATCCTGAATGATAAAACACATGCACAGACACAGTTTTGCTAAACCTTTTTATGTGGTCTACTTGTATCTAACACAGCACATGCACTCACGTGATAGCGGGACAGAGTTTCTCCATGATGGAGACAGCCCAGTAATTTAGAGTCCTGTGCTTGGTCATGGAACATTTGCGGTTGTGTAGCTGCAGCCTGCACCGTCTGATGTGGTCTTGCTCTTGTGCATTAGTGCAAAGCAGGGTAGTTTTATTTAGAGTAGTGAGAAAGTGCTTTATTTTCCATGGTCATTTAAGCTCTGGTCTCTCTTAACTCGTATTTGTTGTAGTGATGCTGTTCATACCTTCAATCTGTATCATTTGTTCGTGTTTATGGTTAGACACTGAAGAGGAATGTACATGGTCAGGATCCCTGCTTTGAAGAGTTTACAGTCTAGAAAGTTCATGACATAGGCCCAGAATCCATTCCTGGTTTGACAATGTCAGATATTGTTCATTTTATTCAGGTATTTATGCACACTTTGCCTCATCCTCCTGACATCATTAAGCATTTGAGTTTGTATTTGCATTTTAGCAGATATTATAGAAAAGATTTAAAGGAGAACGGTCTTAAAAATTACTTCAGAGAGACTGCTTAAGGTTTACAGGAAGAGGAGATTGAAGGAGAGTACGTATGAGACAGTATGAACTATGGCTTTATGGTGTTCAGTAGTGTTTCAGAACTGACTGGGATAGATCACGCACAGAAGATTCTTGAGGGTAAATATGAAATGGATATAAACCACTTCATACCAAAAAAAATGATCTGGACTTCCCATCCATTTTAAGTTGCCAAAGGGTATGTATTTTTAACCACACAACCCTTTCAGTTACCAAAGGTTCTGAGAAAAATATTCACCATCCTAGATTGGAAGAAAGAATGAAAACTAGAGTTTTAGCTTTTAGGGAGGAAAAACCAATTTAGAAATGTTACAGAGTGAGAGATGATGTGATGTGGACGCAGTCTTCTCATCAGTTACTAGAACGAGACAGTTTTTTCCCAGGGAGAGTAAAGTAGATGCAATTTCTTTCTCTGTCAGGGACACAAATTGTTCTAGATGCTTTTTCATAGGATAAAATGAGGGTGGCAATCTTCCAGTGTAACATTTTTGTGGGATGAATGTCAGCAGTAGATAAAGTAACTGATACATAGTTTTAAATGACAGAAATGTATGAAGTAGTAAATTGGTTTCCTTCCCTACATACTCCTCATTAATTTCCTTGGTTTCTAATGGTGCTACCAAATACCTTCTCTTATCTTCCAGTGCTGGAGAGCCATTGGATGCTATTCTGCAGCAATGTAGTCATGCCTCTGTGTGTATGTGTGTGTGTCTTTCTGTCTTTTTATGGAAGCTGATGGTGTATCTTTGCCTCTCTTTACTGATAAAATACATGTGTTTGTTGTTTTTTTTTTAATAAAACAGAATTTGCATATCTAGACTTTGAAACTTTGGAAAATGAGAAATTATTAATATAAAGAACTGGGTCCTTTTTTGATTTTGAAAATTGTCAGTCAAAATCTTCAAGAAGACACATATTGAAGTATTACTGGAGTATGTTTCTTAATTGCTTAGTCTAATAAGTGAAGCTTATTAACTTTTTTCCTTCATTTTTTAGCTTCTCATGTCTGTGTTTGACAACAGCATGAAAACATTTGGGGTTATTGAAAGTGACCCTTTTGACTGGGAGAAGAGTGGAACTGATGGCTCTCTGACAACAACAACTACTTCAACCACGCCTCAGTTGCACACTCGTCTTACTCCGGCTGCAATTGGGTATGTATGCACATTGTGGTCACTTTAAAAGCAGCCACAGAGTACCAAAGGGAAGTTATCTCCTTAATTCGGGCTTCTTCTACGGGATGTTGAATAAACAGAGGAATGCAGGTTTGGGAGCATTTGAAGTATTTCCCTTTTTAGGGTTCCTGTTTGTACTACCCTGAAAGAGCAGCACTGCAGTCCTAAATTTATAGCAATATAAAAGAGCAGCTCAGGAAATTGGCACGTAAATTTGTTAGTCCATCCTTTGCTAAATCATATTTTGTGAAACTAAATTATGTGTCCTGACTTTCACTGCCTGAAAATAAACCCACTGTTTTCTGTAAGCTTGGAATAAACTACTGACTGCAGTTTCCTTAGAAAAATGAATGGATCTTTATAGGAAATTTGGAAGTAATTTTCATCATGTTTAAAACAATATTTAATGTGGTCTTTGAGACTTTCTGTAATTAATGTAGCTAATCCAACCAAATGTGGTTGGATGAGATGTGATGTTTAGTAATATCGATATTCATCTCAGGGGATTGGAGAATATAAGAGGGGTTTATGGGTGAGGAAGAAGTCCTTGTGCCTGTTGTAGTCCTTAAGTAGATCATCTTTTTATCTAAGAGTCACAAAGGTTGTGATGTAGGAGCGTTAGCAGTGCAGTGAGGCTGAAAAAAGACAGAATTTCATATAGAATGTATTAAATTCCCAGTATTTCAAGGTAATTTAAAAAAAAAAGTGTTAAAATAAATGTCAGTCAAGACATGAACTGGTGTTAACTTTACACAGACGTATGGTGTGCACTGTTCAACACACTGATGTTGACAAGGATTTTGTGTAAGATTCAGTCCTATTATCAAACAAAGCGTCATACTGGAATTATTGATAATCTTGGCTTCAGTTGACAGTTCAGGTGACTGCAAAGGAATGATTTTTAATTGACCTTCTGACCATTCACTTTTTAGGAATAACATTGCTTCAGTTTCAGAAGTTACTGAGCTAAGCCTTAGCTCTATTTAGCCCCGAGTCAATGGCACTACAGAACTTTAATTAAAATGTAATGTTTCAGTAGCGTTATGCTTATGTTTTGATTACAAATAATTGGACCAAAATAGTGCTTCAGTAAGAACAGTGATTAATACTGCATTTAGTTTGCTGAGTGATCTTTCTTCCTCACATAGTGTATTTTGTTACTCCACCAAATTTTGGGAAATAGGAAAATAAGGTTGCCATTATTAGAAGAGTCAGGAGTGAAGTTGAGTCTGGACATGATCTCTAACATATTTTCTCAGAAGTTGCTTTGAAACATTCAAAAAAACAGCTTTTAAGTGGTTTTGGTTTTTGTTTTTAAATTTACACCTTTTGTTACATGCCCAAATTAAAGAACCATAAATTGTGAAAGCAAAGAAACAGGTGTTTTTAGTAATAAATAACTTACAAGATTTAGTTTTAGTTTTCTACAGGTGCATGCTCTTGCTTGTAATTTTTCTTCCTTTTAACACAGTAGAGAAGACTTTAGAGTAGAAAACAATTTCAAGAAACACACTGCAGTCTCAATTTTTACTTTTTCTGGGGTTTTTTAAACCTACTTTTGTAGAATTGCCAACGCCACTCCTATCCCAGGAGACTTGCTGCGAGAAAACACAGATGAAGTGTTTCCTGATGAACAGCTCAGTGATGGAGAGAATGGTATTCCAGTTGGTGTCTCACCAGAGAAGCTACCTGGATCCCCTGGGCATCAGCGTCCTCAAGAAAAAGATGTTTGGGAAGAAATGGATGCAAACAGAAACAAAATAAAACTAGGGATCTGTAAGGTACTTATGAGTTTGCATTTTGAAGACCATCTTTGAACAGTTTGATGTGCTTATAGTGCACATAAGATATAATTAATAATGCAGTCTTACTAATATTGATTAGCCAGAATGGCCTAAGAAAACAAGGTTTATGGTAGAACTAACGAATTATTAGAGGGATTTATATACTGGAACAAGCAGACAAGCTTTTAGGCTTAGTCTCACTATATCAGGTCTCTATGATGAATAGTACATGGCTGATAGTTTGAGATTCTTTGTACTTTATTCATATTCCTGTTCTTCAGACATGATTTTGATTCTTGCTCACTGAATGAAACCAAAGCAAATTTCCTGCATCATGCGTTTCCTTGCATGTGGAGAAGTTAGGTACCGAATATACAAAAATCAGCTTAATGTCAATCTTCAATGACAGATTGGCAGCGTGATTGGCAGTATCCATTTAATTCACTTGGTGTTTTGGTCTCTATAAGATATGATGCCTTGGTACCAATCCAAAGAGGTTCATGGGCTAGTCTTTAGAAGAGAATATTGTTTAATCTTGAAAAGTGGCCTCTGAGAAGCTCCTGTCTTGCTTCCTCAAAATTACAGTATTTCGTACTCGGGCAAATACAGCCCTCTTTCTTGATATAGAAATGTTTTGAATATGAAGAAGGATCTGGTACTGAAATGTTCTTTAGCTAGGAGAGCTGTCTAGTATTGAGGCTGTTACTTCTTGTTTACTAGAAAAAAATGTATTGTGGGAAAGATTAAGGCATGGTGCCTATTTTCAAATGTGCTTATTTGTTTGGATTTTACCAGAGAGAAAGGAAATTGTTCTGCTTTAAACAAAGGCAGGTTCTATTAGTTATACCTGTTTAAGATAAGGATTATCATGATTTTCTGGCTCTAAATCATGTCCAGTTAGTATGCAAGATGAAAGGCAATTGGACTAAGACATAGTTCTAAGTCGCAGAAATAGCCAGTAGGTTTAGTGTATAACAGTGTTATGTGCTCCAGAGAATCATAAAGACAGCTTAGGAGCTAATTTCTCTTTATAAGAGCACTTAACTGTAAAGCAGACTGAAGATGCTATTTTCAGTCTTCTTTATTAAAGATGTGGGTTTCAGACTATTAAAGAAAATTTCAGAGATGGGTGTGAAATATCAGAGTAAATTTAAGTGTATTGCTGGATTTTTGAGACTCCTTTTCTCAGACCTGCCCTGAGCTAGTATGTTACTAGTGTTTTGTCTGTGGTAGGTGCATGCTGCAGAGCATATCTAAACTAGCTTAGCTATTGCATGAACTTAAGGACCATTCCAAATACAAATGTGCTTATCACAGGCTAAAAACCTGGGTGGTATTCACCATGCAGTACCTTGTTTTGCTCTGTTTTGCTGCTCCTAGTGAGTTACACTTTATTTTTTTGCACAGGCTGCCACAGAGGAAGAAAACAGCCATGGGCCAGTGAATGGAATGCTTAATGCACCGAGTCTCGGTTCTCCAATTCGAGTTCGCTCAGAAACCACCCAGCTGGACAGAAATGTCCCACTGGTGCGAAAGTTACGTTCGATTCACAGCTTTGAACTGGAGAAGTGTCTGACGTTGGAGTCAAAGCCAGATACTGATAAGTTTCTTGAGACGTGGTAAAGAAATTATTTTATTCTTTTGCTTAGATCTTTTCAGGATACGTAGTCAAGACACTTATCATCTTTCCTCTGCTGTGTGAAAACCAGGAGTGGAGCTGCTGAGTTATGCTTATGCAAGCTGCAGCAGAGTACTTAGTACGTTCATAATATTGTTTGATTAATGGATTTCACCACTTGGCAGCTTCTTTAAAATAGATTAGTGCTAGTATACAGTTAAAGTCAGACTTTCACACTTGAAAATTTTTTATTTCAAGAGCTAGTGGTTGAACTCTGATGTTTATTACCTTTTTCTTCAGTGGGATACTCTTGACAGTCAGTACAACTCATCCTAAATAAGAATGATGACATCGGGTACTCTATAGAGGTAAAATGGGATTAGATCGTATGACATGAGAAGAACAGTTTACAAGAAGTGGAGTTATGAAGTAAAGCTCGAAATGCAGTTAAAACCTGCATGCAGCAGGGTTAGTTATGCCCAAAGGTGTGTCACCAATAAAAAACAATATTGATAGAAGGTAGAGGTTTTAAAATGGAATTTGAGGATAGAGGAAAGACAGATGTATGACAAAATTTTCAACCAATTTGCTTATGCGTAGAAAGAATAAGAGGAGAAGGACACAGTGAAATCTGACTGGGTACAGTAGAACCATAGAACCATAGAATCACAGGTTGGAAGGGACCACAAGGATCACCCAGTCCAACTTCTCAAGGTAAAAGTATCGTTTAAATGAGCTGAGTCAGCATCCTGCCAAGCTGACTCCTAAAACTGAGCAGTATAGGGGAATTTACCACTTCCCCTGGGAGATTATTCCAATGTCTGATTGATCTCGTGGTAAAAAAATTTCTTCTGGAGTTCAATCAGACTCTCTCCAGAAGCAACTTGTGTCCATTACTCCTCGTTTTCTCCATGTGACTCCTTGTGAAAAGGGAGTCTCCATCTTCTTGGTAGCCACCCTTTATGTACTGGTACGTGGTGATAAGGTCTCCCCTAAGCCTTCTTTTTCCAAGGCTGAATAGGTCCAATTTTCTCAGCCTCTCTTATGGCAGGTCTTCCAGTCCTCTCATCATCCTTGTGGCCCTTCTCTGGACCCTTTCCAACCTGTCTGCATCTTTTTTGTATAGTGGGAACCAAAACTGGACACAGTGCTCAAGGTGTGGTCTGACCAGTGCCAAATAGAGAGGGATAATGACATCTTTATTTCTGCTGTGGTGATGCCCTTTTTAATGCACCCCAGCATCCATCAGCTGAGATGCTGACAGTGGCAAAACCCTTCTAAATAGGGGGTTAGGAATTTGAATTTATTAGTTTGCAAGTTATGCAAAGCATAAATAAGGAATCAATCAAAACAGTAACATTCTTCTTGGAAGCATCTACTAACTGCTGCTGGAGACATCTGTTGCTTATGTTCTGCTTTGAGTCTGTGCTTTGTAGCATACATTAAGTACAGTGGACATCTGGCGCTAGCCTCATCCCCGAGTTGGTGTCCACTCACTCTCGTAATTACTTCTGCAATACATGATACATATGGTACATTAGAATTACATTTACAGTATGTGCAGATTTCTAAGACCGTCTGCCCATTTTTACTTGACATCGGTGTTACTTGTCTCAAATTGTGGATCTTTCAACCATTGCTTGTTTGTTCGTTCCAGAATACGACAACCAATTTGTATATAAATCTAGTTTTCATCTACTGAAAAAACTCAGATGTAGCTTACATTGTTTAATTAATTCTTCACTAATTCAGATATTAACTTCTTTTCTTAAGTTTGGAGAAGATGCAGAAAGACTTGAATGCTGCGGCAGAGACTCCTGTTGCTGCTGTTCCTCCTCTTTCTCAGAAAACGGCCATTTCTGCTCCCGTGACTGCCCCGCTG